ATTTAAATAATCGCGGCTTCATTTAAATTTAAATGCCTGCCGCGCTGAGCCGACAAACAGCTGATCAGCTGTTTGTCGGCTCAGCACGCTAGTCTGGACACTCCCGCGCCGACCTGAAAGCCCTTTATCGACCTCCCCATTATGCCTCGTAGGATGAGGTTTACCAGGTAGGTCGATAAAGGGCTTTCATGTCGGCAGGGGAGCGTCCAGACTGCCCCAATCTGCTGACAAACAGCTGATCGGCAGAGCGGGGCAGCCATTTAAATTTAAATGAAGCCGCGATTATTTAAATCGCGGCTTCATTTCCCTTTGCCGAACAAACAAATCTACATGGCTCCGTCAACGGAGCCATGTAGTCTAGACGTACCCTGAAGGTTACCCTTCAGGGTAAAGTTTAATCAAGTGGTAAAGAAGGTGACATGGAATCTGACCGTGAAGAAGGTTCCATGCTTCTCTTCCTCCTCTCCTGTGTTTGCTCAAGTGGAAATTAGCTTCGCCGCCTGTCCTTTCCCCGTCTTACTGTCTCAAAGACTCTGTTCACTACTTATCCACACACGGAGATCCACACACATTCCTTTGTTTAGGACAGATCTGTTTAACCAGTATTCCCCAGGCAGGGCTGTGTGGAAGTGAGCATGGCTTAATAATGTCATACAGGGAGATTTCATTACTTCTCACAGAGCATTGCTACATACATTACACCATGATATTACTGGCCAGCCAATGATGAGTTTTCCAATGATATCTCACAAGGCATATTTTGCATGAAGATTGTTACGAGGGTGCGAATTCAGGGTGCTCTTGGTCACAGCCACTGAGCCATGTGCCCCTTTACCCACAGTTAAAATGGCAAACAAAAAATGGAAGTTCGCAGAGATCAAACTTCCCTACCCACTCACAAGGGGTAGTATAAGAGACACTCAAGACTTTACTGGGTGGGTTAATTTCTCTCTCTTCAGCATAAATATTTCCATCAGCCATTCTCAGCTGCTGCTAGGTGAAGCCATAGTCAGGTTCCAGTTTCGTTCATCATGCTAAAGAATTTGGTCGGAACAACCCCCAGGCTACCTGGTGCTTTCTTATCCGTTCCTACCGTTACTCAGACTGGTGTCTGCAAAATCTGGCACGCAAAATATCAGAGAACGGTGTTGCCAGTAGCATCTCCCAGAGTTTCCTGTTCAGTGTTGTTGCCACTGGCCCATCATCTGTGAGTGGCAGATGTCTGGTTTAGATGGCTCACGTTCTCCTTAGGTTTGAGATGTGCTTAGGCGAGTGTGATGCTAAGAATAGTAGAACTTAAATGCAATCAGATGGATGCTCTGAAGTACAACAGATGGTAGTTAGGACCCAGGGACCCCTCAGTGCCATGCGGCAGAGGACACACCATCCTGTAACTCATGTCGTCCCTGACACCCTCAATGCCCCAATACAGTGCTGTCATAATCTGTATCATACACAAATGTATAAGAAACTGGTCACAGCTATTATGGCGTGGTGTATGTTCAGGTGGCGTATAAAGAATTATGGATGTGTGTTGGAAATATGGGTAGAAATGTAGCCGCGTTAGTCTGGTGCAGCTGAAACAAAAAACAGGACTGTGCAGCACTTTAAAGACTAACAAGATGGTTTAATAGGTGATGAGCTTTCGTGGGCCAGACCCACTTCCTCAGTCCCACTTCCTCAGATCTGATCTTCCTCAGATCTGTTTGATGTGAGGAAGTGGGTCTGGCCCATGAAAGCTCATCACTTATTAAACCATCTTGTTAGTCTTTAAAGTGCTACACAGTCCTGTTTTTTGTTGGAAATACGTTCTTCTGCAAACTGTTCCTAAGACCAGCCTGTCCTAGACAAAGGAATATTGTTTCAGCCACTTGACTGTCTCCAGAATAAACTGAGCAAGATGAAGCCAGAGAACAATAGAAGTATATTTACGTGTAAGGGTAAAGCCATCAAACTAGCAAATGGAGGGGATGACTATTTATGGGAGTGGATGAAACGTGCCTGCCTCTTGAAAAAGAGTGACAATAGACTTTGGAAAATATAGGCCAAAACTAGGGATGGTAAAAAGTGCGTAATTGGGTAACTGTGTAACCGCTGAAAATGTCAGCAGTTACACACACCCGCAGCATGGGGCAGCACCCAGCTCCCTAGGAGCCAGTGCCCACCAGGAGCTGGCTTTTAAACCAGCTCCCTGCACACACCGGCTCCTGCCAGCAGCCCCGCTCCTGGTGAGGTGGCTGCTGCCCCCATGCTGCTGGTTCTGATACAGAGCCAGCAGCGGCGGCTGGCAACCAGCTCACCAGGAGCAGGGCAGGAACCTGCATGTAACCGTTAATGGTAACCGATAAGCCCAGGCTTATCGGTTAACTGTTTAAACAGTTAATACTTTCACATCCCTCACCAAAACACTAACAATTTTGGGCATGAGGGACACAAGAAGCTAGAATTCTTGATGGCTGAGAAAGGGGCTGAAGTTTTTGGGAACAGTGTATAATGTATGCAGTGCTTTGCAAAAGACTGTAACTCCATATGGTTACGTTTTAATCATTAGGAAGTGTGTTTTGTTTGTAACTTACGTAGGTCTTTTTCACCCTCTCTTGAAATCATTTTCACCTGTTCTTTCTTAATAAACCTCCTCTTGTTTTAATAGTTTTGTATTAAAACAAGTAGTGCATTGAAGTGAAGTGTTCGTTTTCAGCTAACAGGCTGTCGTGTGCTCGGCCTCTCTGGAGGCAGTGAAGTTAATAACATATCTGAGAGGGATTGAACAGTGACGAAGAACGTCTCTGCGGAACTCAGGCTCACAGATTATTACCAGGAGAGCAAAGTCTGAATTGGAAGAGCCCTGAAGAGTTTGCCAGCTAGGCAGACAAGTTGGCAGGCTGGGGAGCAGAGACGCGGTTTAGCAGCAGCAAAAGCTCCTGCTTGCTGAGGCAGATTTGTGACAGAGTGGCTCGCAAGTCTGGGTGACCTGAGCAAGACGTCTCTGCAGTGCCGTTTATGCTGCAGGAACCAACAACTCCGCACTGGTAGTAGAATTTGCTGTTCATGGGCTTTTTGCCTCTGGGATCCATTTGCAAGGCTGAAATAACACCAGAGCAGCCCAACCTCGGGCACTTCCATTATCCAGGCACCGAAATGTCAGAAAATTATTAACCAATGTGTAAGTCTGACACCTGAAATGGCTCCCATTGTATTACTGGCTTTTAAATTGTAAGGTCTTTGTGGCAGGAGCTGTCATTTTTATGGGTCTGTCCCATACGTAGCATAAAAGGGGCCCCACCTGGCGCTTTCGAAAATATAAATGCTAAATAATCACACACGGTGGAGAAGTTTGAAGTCAATAATACTGGAACGAAGGACGCTAAAAAAGGGGGATTTCTTAAAGAACCAGGGTTCTGTGCCGGGTTTCGTCTAAATCACCGCACACAAAATTCACCCAGCCGCAGAACCGAACTGCACACGGAGCAATCCCACGAGCTCGACACGGCATTAGGTCACGACGGTTTGTGAAAATGCACAAGTGGGAGCCCCGGCAGCATACGGCCTGCAGCGAGGACAGGTCCTTGGCTGGTATTTTGAGTTTAGCATGAGCTCGGAGGCACGGGTCAAACCCAGGTGTCTCCTAATTGTAGCTCATCTTTCTCCCGACCTGAGCGATACAAGGGCAGGAGGGCAAACCCTGGCTTGAAGTGGTTTCGATCACATGCAAGATTTACAGTTTGGTTCCCGGCCTCTCGTTCAGGCCTGCCAACGGGTGGGGGGCAAAGGGAGCAGTTGTCCTGAAGCCAAGAGATTCAAGAGGGCCGGGGGTTCCCGGCCACCACTGCTGTTACTACAGGAGGGCGGCAGCGGGGCCTTTAATTCACAGCTAGCACGCCGTGCCGCATGCCCAGTGGGCTCTGAGGGGAGGCACCCCACACTCTGGCTGGCTCTAGGGGTGCCGGGTGTCCGGTTTTTGCCCAGACACTCCGGTAATTGTGTCTTCCCTCCAGTAAAAAAAAGCAGAAAATACCGGACATGCAAATGGTCTGGCATTTTTTTGTTTTTCTCGGACGGAAGGCTGGCGGGGACATTTTTCCCCTGCCGCGTCTGGCAGGGCGGGAGGGGGGCGGGGTGTCCCTGGGGCCACTTTAAAAACTTCCGCCAGCCTCCCCTGCCGCATGGCCAGATACTTGCGGTTCCTCTCCTGCACGTGGGAGAGGCGCGACAGGAGATCTGGCGGGAGGGAGACGCGCCGCGTGCTGGAGCCCTGCGGCACGTCAGCGAGGCAGCAGTGAAAAAGGGGCTGCCGCTCCCTCCCAGGCTCAGGCGGCTGCAGAGGCTGCCAGCAAAACTCCTTTTGCCCTGAGCAGGTGTGTGGGAGGAGAGGAGAGGGAGGGAGGGGATCCGTTCCCAGAGTGGGAGGGAGGGGAAGCCCCGGAGCCCCTTCCCTGCATGGGGCACCTTTTGGAAGGAAGGGGGAACCACAGCAGGGCCAGCTTCTCCCCTTTCCCCACCTCCCTTCCCTGAACAGGCTGGTTAGCCTCTGGCAGACTGGAGCCTTCACAGCGAAGGAGGCATGCAGGACTGGAGGGAAGGTGGCGGGGGCAGGGGGGATACCTCACAGGAGTGGGAAGGACGAGAATCACCCCCAGCCCCATCCCTGCATGGGGTGCATTTAGGGAGGAGGGGTGGCCACATCTGGGCAAGCCCCAGAACTCCTTCCCTGCAATAGGCTGGCCGCAGCAAGGAGCAGCGTCTTGTAGCCCTATGCCTCCTTAACAGGTAAGGAGGCATGCAGGACCTGAGAGAAAGGCGGGGGAGGGGGGAGGAAGCTCTTGCAAGAGGGGGGAGGGAAGGGAAGCTCCCCCACCCCTTCCCTGCATGGGGTTAGGGTTGCCAGGTGTGCTGTTTTCACCTGGACAGTCTGGCAATTGAGTCTGCTGGGACGGAAGGCTGGCAGGGACATTTTCCCTCTGCTGTGTCCTGGTTTTTGTTTTTTTTCTTTTCCTCAACCAATTTTTTCCCCCGCCATGTTCCATATTTTTTGTGAAACTATCTGGCAACCCTAGCTAGCTCCGAGGGCTGCCTAGGTTGGGGGGCTGATGCAGTATGCACAGCCCCGCCCCTTGTACCCAAGGCTCCGCCCCTTGTACCCAAGGCTCCGCCTCTTCCAGGAGTGTGGCACTGCCCCCTCCCCACCCTTTCTCCAGGGACCCAGCAAGGCTGTCATGCCCCCGTCCCCACTGTACAAATTGTACCAAAGGCCTGAACCAGGGTCACATGTCGGGCCTTCCCCTCCCTCAGGGGAAGAGCTGACAGCAGCCCATAGGGCTAGACAGCTTCTTCCTGCTACTCAGCCTCTCCCAGAGAACTGTCAATCCTGCCAACGAGGCGGGACGTCTTGGGCCGCACTTTACCTCTTCCAGTTTGAAGACCGCTCCCACGTGAGGTCGGATCCGTCTTTCCTGGCAGTACCAAAGAGCAGAGGAGAGGGACGAGGAAAACACAGGGAAGTCCTCTTCCCGGTATCGACCCCAGAACACTCCCAGGGCAGAAACGTTCTTCAGAAGCAGCAGGTTGGCTGGGACAGAGGGGATTGCGCCTCCAGCAAAACCCACCACCACAATCCTGCCCTCCCAAGCCAAACTGCAAGGGAGAGGGAGAGAGGAGAGATATTTAATCAGGAGGAGCAAAAAAAAGGTCAAATCCTGGTCCAACTGGAGTTGCTTTTGCTTCAGTGCTACCAGAATTTGGTCTTAGTGTAAATGGTTCAAACTCGACACTAGGGTGTTAACTCAGTGCAGAGAGGAAGTTGCCCCATCACCATCTGCAGGGACGACCTCCTCAGAATTGTCCAAGGAAAGGGAAGCATACGGGCTAGCCATTTCCAAGTCTGAGCATTTCCTGGTGGCCTGCCGCGAGATGGTGATGTTCACCGGTCTATGCTGTGTCTAGTTTTTTCATCTCATTAAGGACAGGTATCAGGACAGTATTTTCCTACGGTTACTTTTCCACAGGCGCAGTTACTGTCCTTGAGACAGGTAGATGGTATGGTTGCCAGTGAGGTAACAAAACAATTGCGTCATTATGTTTCAGAACCTCAGCTCTAGCTTGTTCTTGCATGGAGCCGCCTAGAGAAATGGTGGCCCTCCGTAAACAAGTTCTGCTGATTAAACTGCAGCAAGGCAGGTTTAGGTTGGACATTAGGAAAAACTTCCTGCCTGTCAGGGTGGTGAAGCGCTGGAATAAATTGCCCAGGGAGGTTGTGGAATCGCCATCTCTGGAGATTGTGAAGAGCAGGTTAGACAGACACACCTGTCAGGGATGGTCTAGAGGATAAAACTTAGCCCTGCCCTGAAGACCTCTCGAGGTTCCTTCCAGTTTTAATATTCTGTGATTAACCAGAAACACGTGTTCTCCTGGTCAGTACCAAACCAACACCCCATCATGACAGCAGGTGGCATCTCTCCTTCTGATTGCATGAGAAAAAAAATATCCAAGGCCTTCAATATCCACAATCATTAACGAGCCCTTGGAACTTTTCACAAGCGTGACATGCCCACTACCAACGTGCAGAGTCACGCCTGGGCTTCCTACAATCCCTCGCACTTTCCATGGACAATTCTGAAGCACACAGGAGGAGGATCCTGGAGACTGCACATTTCACACCCCTACGGCAGGTCACTCGGAACGCGACTGGAATCATATTTCAACGCACCTATGTAACGCCGCCTTGAACACGTCCCCGCCTACAGCATCCAGAATGACATTGACCCCTCTGTTCTCTGTGAGCTTCCTCGCCTCTTCCTTCAAGCTCCCTTGGGTGTAATTCACGCTGTGGGCTGCACCCTTCTGCAGGGCCAGGTTGCATTTGTGATCACTTCCAGCTGCTGCTATCACCTGAAAACCGAGAAGGAGCTGGTGTTACAGTCTGATCTTTCATGCTGGAAGAGGGACTGTCTTTTGGGTCAGTGTTTGTGCCAGGCGCTGTACAATGGACTTCTTTCTTGTTTCTTTTGTTTGCTTTTTTTTTTTTTTTTTTAAAGACTTGCATGACACTAAGTTGGCTGTGAAAAGCAACATTCACACACACACCAGTATCACATGCCAGGGCAGACTTACTCCACCTCAGCAAGCCCAGGGACAAATTAAGCCCTGGACGGGGAGGTGGGTGTTGGGATGGTGTCATGGTCTAGCCAGACTGATTGAATAATGTGAATGTGACTTGACATGACTCACACGTGGCCAAATAACAGAGGATTTTGGGGGCAGGTCCTCTATAAGCAACTGAAGTAAACATGATGAGTCAAACTGGCCTGGATTGTGGACTGGATTGCAGGCACAATCAATACTGGACTGACCGGTCAGTAAATATGGGCCATGCAACAGTAAATATCATAGGAGTGAAGTTCCCGCATGGAGCACAAGCTGACTTGGTCCCACAAAGCCAGAGTGTGTAACTGATGTGTGTGAGGAAGTGGAGTGATTTTGGGTACCATCCCAACTAGCGCCTTCCAAAAATACTCATCAGGTACAAAATAGTAACTATAATGGGCCAAGGTGTGGGGGGGGGGGGGGGGGGGTGGAGGATAAAAATCAAGCAAAGCAAATGACAGGTGGTGGGGATCCATTAATTCGAGCACCTCAAAAAGGCAGGTGGGTTATGGGACTGTGACCCAGAGGGCCTCCAAGGCAACCAAGGCCTTGTTTTGGGGGATCAGACCAGAAAACTAAAAAGGGACAAGGAGAAGAGGAACCGTCCATAGTTTGGTAACTGCCTTCTCTGTGTGCCGGACAGGTGCCATGCGGGGCCAGCCCAGGAAGTGCCTGTTCAGATTTGAGGAGTCTGAGGAAAAGAGAGGCGCGCTGAAGAGAATGTACCGTTTCTAACCTAGGAGCTGTGTGCTTGATGCAACTGCTGGTAAAATTCCTTCAGCACCGTGCCTGGCAGGCTTGGGTGAAATTCCCTGGTTTGACCCTCTTCACTGACAGCAAACAGGCACGTGCTCTGCTGGGCACCGTTAAAAATTCAGAAAGGATGAGTGGGGGTGTGTGTGGAGAGACGGGGGCCGGGAAAGGCCCCCACCCCCCCCCCCCCCTCAGCAGCTGTCTAACAGTGGCACAGAGGCAGTAAGCCAGAGGTGATGGTGGGTTCTGATGAGCTCACGGACAGAGCTGGCCACCACACAGCCAGGAAATGGAGCCCTGGCTGGAGCTGAAACCTGACCCTTAGGAAAGCTGCCTGCTTCTCCAGCTTTTGTGTCTCCAGAAGGAGGCAGGGCCCAACCACTACTGGCAGCCCCAAAGGAGGGGCTGCTGCTTCCCCCAAAATCACCGCCAAGGAGGCTGTGGCAGCTGCCAGGGGCTGCGTTCGAGTGTGTTGTGTTGGAGAGACAGAGCCTGGTTTGTTGGATTACCAGCCCCTCAGACCTTACAAGTCTCCTGGGTGCTAGTCCTCCCTCTGCCCATAAGTCATTGCAACATCTTGGGCAGCTCCCAAACACTACATCCTTTTTGCACACATCTCTTGCAAGCGCACAATACGCTTGCCTTGCCTTGTGAGGTTTTATTTGTTGAGAGTGTAGAAAGGCCTGTGACTGCCCAGTTGGCGCATGCTAGAAAACACGGTCATTACTCCAGGGGGTAATGACACAGAGCGCGGGTTCGTTTTAAAAAGCAAAATACCTTGGCCTTGAGAACGTTGGCGGCGACGTCAACAGCAGCGAGTCCCGTGGCCCCCGCGGCTGCCGTCACTAGAACCGTTTCCCTGAGACGGTGACAGAGAGACCAAAGTGTAAACAACCTCCTTCCATATCAGAAAAACCTTGCATTGCGGGCCTGCCTGCGACCAATACATGGTCTCCCATTCGTTTTGGAGATGAAAGATTCCCTTGATCATCTTAAAAAGACTCTAGTAATCAACTGACCCCGCAATCCATTTCCATAGTAAGAATTTTTTCCCATCTTCAACGCTATTCTCTTTCCTAGAATCTTTTCCAATGGCACAAGTAAGGGAGCTTGACTTTTCCGCAACACCAATTTGTACCTTGTGACATGAATTCTCCTACCCCTCTTTTACATTTCACAGTGGAGTGGTCTGATAAGAGACTATCTGCAGGTTTTCAATGACTTTGCAAGGAGAGACTCATTTACTCTGGTGGGGGTACAATCGCAAACTGGCGGGACTGGGGCAGGAATGTAAAGGTACTTCAGGAAAAGGATGGTTTTACTGGTAAGACACAAGAGTTGGCTCTGAACGCTGCTCTGAGCTCTGCTACAGATTCACTGTCACCGTGCGTAAGTCGGTTCTCTCTCTCTCTGGCTTTGTTCCCTACTTCTGTAAAAGGCCAGCCACTTTGCAATGCCTCACTGGCGCATTTGGAGGCCTAATTCGAGCTCCAAGAGTCTCTATTGGAAGGTAGCATGGAGTTTAAAGGGTTATAATTCAGCGGCTGGAAAAGCGAGCCAACTATAAGTCTTCCTATTCCGCGTACACACTCTCAACTCTCCACAGGGCGCTTCCAAACCCCAATCCTGCAGCAAAACAATTCCCAGCTAAGCTCCTTTGCTCCCCGAGGAACCAATGTTCCCCTTAAGACCTGCCTGGACCAGTACAAGCCTCCTTAACCAAGGAGAACTGTTGTTTGAGGATACATTAGCTGAGCAATGCATGCCGTGCACTGATACTGGCAGCAAAGCTAATCTTCGGCTAAACAATAGGTTGGACTTGGACACGTTTTGCCTGCCTGGGGTACAGCCCAAGCCTGCCAGTAATTCAGGGCGATATGCGGTATTGTCTGGGACTTATCAGCGTCGCTCTGCTCAGCAGGTTCGTCTTTTCCCCAAGAGGATCACAGCAGGACCAAATGTGGGTGGTTGTTTTTTACAGTAGGGATGTAAAATCCCATTTAATTGGCTAACCAGTTAAACATTTATGTTTAACTAGTTAACCAGTTAAAGGGGGATGGGCAGGGGGAGGAGGGGACTGGAGCTCCGCCCACCTCCTCCCCACTGTGGACAAAGGCTACTCCGATTGGAGCAGTCCCTGCCTGCGGTTGCAGGGGCTGGGCTGGGCCGGGCTGAGCAGCCCCTGCCTGCAGTGAGCTCCGTGAGGCTGGAGCTACCCCCGCCCGCGACAAGCGGGGAACTTCTCCAGCCGCTACCAGTTAACCAGAACCTGTAACCCTCCCTTGTTAAGGCCACGGCTTACCAATTAAATATTCACATCCCTATTTTAAATATGCCGTTGTAAATTGCTGAAAAGCTACCAAGCTGTTTGTGTATTTGGAGTTTTCAAAAGCGCCCCTCATGCAGGCAAAGGGAGACGAGCAATGTTCAAGTAACAAAACTTGCTGACTAGCGTATTGCCTTTTCATGGTGATCATCTCCCGTCTGGGCACAGCGTCACCCTAGTATCTGAGCATCTCACATACCTCAGCCAATACTATTTATTTATGGCATCCCTCTGAAGTAGTCATTAAGTAAACAGAGGCCCACAGATTAAGTGACTCACCCAAGGTGACACAGTCAGCCTGTGGCGGAAAAGGAGATGGAACTCAAGGTCTTTTGCATCCCAGTACAGCGTTAACCAGGAAACTATCCTTTCTTCATAAATGTAAAGGTACCATCGATATCTGTGAGGGATTTCCCGCTGTACGAACACAGGACGCCTCTCACTTCCATATTCCCCTCAGAGCAGGTAATTTCTGTACCTAAGAGCTATTATTCTATCCTCGAATTTTCCTATAAAATACTAATGATTCAGATCTGAGCTCTCTCGTTTTTTAGACGTGTAGCTTCATCTGTGCTCAAGTTGGATCCAGCAACCAGCTTTGGTTTATTCTGTTGTTCTCACTCCTGATGTAGACAGTGACACTTAATACAATACTCATCTTCACCCCGAACCGGTGTACACGAGACAATGCTCACTCATTTCCACTACTCTCTTGTCAAATTCACTGTGACTTAAGGGCCAGGGAAACCCAGCTGCCCGTGGGACAAAGAGGCAGCTTGATCTATTGATCTGAGCAGAGTTTAGAAACCGGGAATGGTTGATTGTTATTCCCAACTGCACCTCTAACATCGGGCAAGGCTGTGACCGTACGACCTCCTCTCTCTGAATTTCCCCACCCACAAAGCAGCAACGATAACACCTAACGATCTGAGTGCCTCGACATTAGTTCGAGATGTGCCGACTGTGGGAGACTGGATGTTATGAATCCAGCGAGGGGATAAGAACACCCTTACATTTGTTGGCATTTGTTTTTCGTTCCAGCGCAGAACACAAGCAAAAGACTTGTAAGCATTTATATGAAACACAATCATGCCAAAAGGTCCTTTTGGTATTAGAGGTGACGAGAGCGACCACCCTGGATCTCCGAAGCCTTCCCATCACACTATGAAGCATCTGACAAAACAGTTTAGCCCAACGACCGCCAAGTTTCCTTGAAAATATTGCAACCAGCTCTATTACTGTGACACCACGCTTGGTTTTTTGCAAATGAAGTGCACTCCGCAAGGGCTGAGTATCACTACTGCTGGACACGTGCCATGCTTTGGACTCCGTCGATCACTTACCCGGGCTGCGTGCGTGCTCTGTGTTCCAGGGCCAAAATGGCTGTGCCGTAAGAGACCGGCAACGCTGCAGCTTCCTCATAAGAAACGCCCTCTGGGATTGGCCACAGCATCTACATGAGGAGACACACAAAGCAACACATAATCCCAAAGAGGGATGAAATTCTGTATTTTCCAACTGCTGTAGCCAGTGCGCTGAACAGGATACAGAGGCATGTTTAGGGCAGCTTGATGACGTTACACTACGGGGAATGGTTAATTTCACCCAAAGGAGTTTGAAAGCAATTTTTCCTAATCAGCCCCTTCTGAGCTTCCAAGGATTCTCCAGAGCAAACCCCAGCCGCTGAAGAATCATAGAATCATAGAATACTAGGACTGGAAGGCACCTCGAGAGGTCATCGAGTCCAGTCCCCTGCCCTCATGGCAGGACCAAGGCAGGAGAACAAACATCACAAAGAAAGGCACAAGACTGGAAGCTCTCACAGGAGAGAGACCCAAACAACGTGACACATAAAATCTTTAGCAATAACAAGATGGCGACTGTATATTTAAATTCTGGTTACCTTCTGATCAGCTACGCACTCCTCCGCCATCGCCCCCATGCCATTCACACCAATTACCCTGTCTCCCTGCCAGAAACAAATCAGCAGTAGACAGGCATTAGGGTGGGAATAATCACTGGGGGTCGCCCCTTTCTTCGGATTACGTCTTTGATCTTCGGTCTTTCCCATGAAGCAGCACAAACTAAATCTGGTAACAGTTCAGGTACCAATTGCATTAATCAGGTTCCTTCCCACCCCCTATTCCCACCTTTACTTCTCTTTCTAGATCCCTGCTGCCTTCTCCGATGGGACGTGCTGCACCACCACCTTCCCGCACACACAGGCCCATTGAGCTGAACTCACAACTATTGTGCAAAGGGCTTACCCCGCCCCAACCCCCGCACTGCAGCCTCGACGCTCCCTGATCAAGTGGGCATCCGTTCCTAGACCCCGCCCCACCGCGTCGCACATACCTCCCGCACTGTGCTGACGTTGGCTCCGGTCTCCACCACTGTCCCTGAAAACTCCATTCCTAAAGCAGGAGAAAGTCATGCACACCCTACGGACACTGCAGCAGGCCACTTCCCCAGCGCTGTTCTCTGCACACAGGCTCTAAGGGGTCACCCTGCTCCAGCACTGGACTGGGATGGCGAGAGCACAGCCATGGGGGTTCAGCTAACGTTAGCCTCGCATGGCAGGTGTGGGCACGACCCCGGCCTGGCCAGAGCAGGCCCCCAGCGCCAAACCGGTTAAACTTTACATTTAACCGGTTAGCTTTTAAAATGGGATTTTACATCCCTAGTTTGCATATGACCTATGCGGGATACACCCAGCATCTGAAAGCTGCTTTCCGAAGCAAAGCTGCTAGACGGCCAGTAGGTGGCACTGTGGGAACACAGGCTGATAATACTGGCGAATGGACGAGGGGTGCAGAAGGACTTTTCTAAAGGGATCGTAAAGTAAAAACTCCGTGGCTGTCTTTCTTCAGAGAATAGTTGAAAACAGCTATGTAATATTTGTAATTTTGTCTTTACTTGATTTATTCACTGAGGTCTCAGAGCATCAGTGTACTTGGAGAAATTCATTGTCAGTACTGCTTTGTACATTGGACAAACGTCTCAGACACTTCGCCAAAGGATCAATGCCCACAAAACAGACATTAGACAGGATCACAAAGAAAAAACAGTTTCTTGCCATTTCAACCAGAAAGGACATTGTCTCAACGACTTGATTACCTGCATCCTGCTTCAAAGGCCTTTTAAGACTACACTTGAAAGAGAATCCTCTGAACTGTCATTCATGCTTAAACCCAACACTTTACACCTAAATTTGAATAAAGACTCTAATTATCTTACCCATTACAAAGATAACTTCTCCAATTATCATCTCTAATAACATTAGCTCACAGACATTTACCTCCCCCCCCCACATCCCCGTTCTGTTCTGAAATTTGATTTGTCCTTTTCATATGTGTGCATTTTTTTAATTGTATCCTTTGGTATATATGGTTGTGACTATTTTCTTCCACAATTTGATCTGAGGAAGTGGGTCTGGCCCACGAAAGCTCATCACCTAATAAACCATCTTGTTAGTCTTGTTTTTTGCTACATAGTCCTGTTTTTTGTTTCTTCAGAGAGGCTCTGATGGCATCCGCGAGACAGTTAGCTCCCCAGCTGGCAAGGGCAGAAGGACGTACTTGAGCCTGATGGCTTCAGTGCTGCAACCAAACGCAGCAGAGCTGCTGCATGCCCGCAGCTACAAGAACGGGAGTTTTGGTGGTTGCAGGCAGGTTCCTGCAGCTCCCCTTGGCTGCAAATGGCAAACTGGAGCCCATGGGAGATGTGAAGCTCTGTGGCTGCAGAGCCGGTAAGTAAACAAACCAGAGCGGCCTGTTAGCCTGCGGCTCTCTTTGAGAAACGCTGCAGGAGAACATGAAGACTTCAAGGCTTTTGGTCAGAATCCAGCGAAGGTCAGAAACGTCCACGGTTCGTTTCCACCTTATGTCTTTTCAGCTGTCTATATGAACGCGGTGGTCTCAGCCTGATGGACAGGGTGTCCATGACACAGGGATGTAAAATCCCAGTTCATTGGTTAACTCCGCATTTCTCAAACAGTGGGTCCCGACCCCCCGGGGGGTCGCGGTATCACAAAGTTTAAGAACCCCTGGGTTAACTGGTTAAACATTATGTTTAACTAGTTAACTAATTAAAGGGGAGGGAAAGGGGGCCACAGACAAAGGGAGCTGCTCCAGTCCCTACCAGTTAACCAGAACCGGTAAGCCTCACCCATTAAGGGTAAGGCTTATTGCATCTGCCGAAGTGGGTCTTTGCCCACGAAAGCTTCTGCTCCAATACATCTGTTAGTCTATAAGGTGCCACAGGACTCCTTGTCGCTCTTGCAGATCCAAACTAACACAGCTACCCCTCTGACAGTTAACCACTCACATCCTCACCACGACACACAAAAGCACCACCCCAATTGGTATGAATTAGTCAAAGGCTATGCAGCACCTATTATCTACAGCTTTATTCCCAGGGATGCAAATCTGTCCCCAGCATCACATCCACTGAGAATTAAACACAGCAGTTACATCAGTCACTCTAAAACTGTACAGATCAGACGGCCTCCTACTTACCAGGCGTGAATGGAAGACAGTGCTTCTCCTGGTACAGACCTTTACAGGCCAAGATATCAGCAAAATTGACCCCACAGTAATGGACCCCAACCCTGACCTGCAAGAGAGAAGGGAACTTTCAGTCAACAGCAACAGAAACATTTTTAACAGGCGGCTTCACGGCCCTGGCATTTTAAAATACCCCTCCCCTTTCCTAAGTACTGTTGTGAAGGCCAACACTACGACAGAGTTCAAAAAGAGCTAGATAAATTCATGAAGGTTAGGTCCAAAATCTCATTGCCACGGCACCTGGGCACCTCACAATCTCTCATGTATGTCCCTCGGGATATTTTTCTGGTATACACTACCGTGGAATATTTTTTTTTTCATTCGTTTCTGTGACTCTCTCCTCAGGCACCCAGAAGTGCCAGCCTCTGTTACCCTGCCTCAGCCAGACAGCTTGGCTGGCGCTCGGACTGGGCATCAGCTCCCTGCCATGAGAGTTCGCCAACCTCCACAGCAAACTCTTTGAGACTCTGCTAATCTTAACCTTGCCCCACAAGGAACAGCCAATGAATCCAGTCCCTCCCTGGACACCCCCAGAAATGATTACGTTCACCACCTCCAAAGAGTCCGCAGACACACCAGCCTGTTGGCTTGCTGAAAATTCACCCTCCACTTCAATACACGGCCCTGAGGTGGCTTACAGCAAAAACTAAGAGCTAGTTTATCCGTGAAGAACAGAGACATGAGGACTACAGAGTAGAGATCAACAGAAAATGGCAAAACAAAACATACATTTGAGACTCGACTATAGCAAGCCACAGTTTGACTAAACAGCTTTCTCGCTTACATCAAGCTACCAGCATCTCTAGCCCTTCTGCTAAGCAATGGATCACTACGGAGTTCTCTCCTCTTCTTTTTATAGCCCAGTAAACCTCTGAAATTTATCTCCACATTAAATTCCTCTTGCCTGCTATCGGTCTTGTCCTGTGGACTCATAGCAAGGTAACCCATTGTCTCTGGTATCATCTCGCTCAGTTTACATTGGCAACACAAGCAAGACAGTTTTCCTTTGTTGATCAAGTCTGCCCCAAGAACAGATTTTAGGAACTTATTTCTAGCACATGTACACAACTGTTTACCAGGGATGTTAGCTAACGTGCATTTGTGTAAAAGTGTTACCGCTGGATTTTTTTTAGCGGTTCCATGTTCATATGCAGAGGGGCCGGGCGGGAGCTGGTGCGTGTGGGGAAACAGAGGCAGCAAAGGGGGGAGCACATGTAGTTGCTAGGATTAACCGATAAGCCCAAGCTCATTAGTTAATCGTGAAAACTATTACATGCTAACATCCCTACTGTTTATGCACCATTCAGCCATACCACACAATGCTAATCATAATCAGTGCGTCACTAGCTCTTATATGATACTTCATCTAATTCACTTTTGTAGTTCAATGATATTGGCTCCAACTGCCTATTCTTTAGGCTTCAGACCAACGCGTGTCTGGAGCCTGATTCTCACAGTTTCATTATTAGCTGTTTGTTTCAAAGGGCTTCTCGCTGTCTTCACTTAATAGGTATTTGTGTACACACGAGCGCTACGCACTGGACTCTGGATTTTCACCTTAGCTTACCCTGTCCCAGTGCTGATATAATAACAATTAGCAATTAGCACTTGAGCTTTATTTGACCGAAGTGCAGTACAATTATGAAATACGCCTCCACCAGCTCTGTGCATTATGCATTGCCGTCATATTACAGACAAGAATCCAAGACTCAGAGAAGAAGGGACTTAAGCTCACCCAGTCTTGGACTCAGTGGCTGTTTTAAAGTCCCAAACCATCCTCTTTCTTACTAGATTTTTCTCTGTTCTAATCTGCACACAACCATCATCTCTTAATCTCTTCTTATTTACCGAGGCAGTACGGCCTAGTGGCTAGAGCACAGGAGCTCTGCATTCTAATCCTGGCTCTGTCGCTAGTTGGCTGAGTGACTTCAGGCAAGTTACTTTCACCTCTCTGTGACTCCGTTTCCCCATCTGTAAAAGCGGGATAAACAACACTAACTCCTTTGTAAAGCACATTGATATCTGCAGATACAAAACCAACAAAAGAAAGTATTTCTTCATACAACACACAGAAAACCTGTGGAACTCCTTGCCAGAGGACATTGTAAAGACCAGGACTTTAACAGGGTTCAAAAAAGAGCTAGACAGATTCATGGAGGTTAGGTCCATCAATGGCTATTAGCCAGGATGGGTAAGGATGGTGTCCCTAGCCTCTGTTTCTCCCGAGGTAGCTGACAGGGGAGGGATCACTTGATGATCCCCTGTTCTGTTCACTCCCTCTGGGGACCCTGGCATTGGCCACTGTCAGAAGACAGGAGACTGGGCTAGATGGACCTTCGGTCTGACCCAGCATGGCCGTTCTTACGTAAAGATTCTGGTACTATTCCTGCAGTAGAATCTAGAGGCCCCACTGTGCCAGGCTCTGTACAAACAGTAAGAAATCCTCCCTCTTTTCGAAGAGCTTGCAATGTAAATGGACAAGCCAGATCAAGCCCAGGAGGGGAATTGGAGACACAGAGTTGTCCAAGGGAACCTGTTAGTCCTGGGCCCTACCCAAAGGGCAGGACTGCCAAGATCTCCAATCCCACAGTGAACGCTGTGTGAGTCCACTCGGGTGGTAGTTCCTGTGGTGGATTGTGGGTGACAGTGAGAAGAGAATGAGAGAGGAGAAAGGTGCCATGGCTGAGGTGAGAGCCGACCAGGGCACAAATCGGGGTGGGCAGATGGTGGAGAGGAAGAGCAGATCTTGGAGCTCTTTAAAGGAAAAACAGGCAAGGTTTAGCAATAGCATCGGGGAAATAAACCAAGAACACTAGCACAGGCGTCCAAGACTATGAGCCTGAGACACAGGGAAGACAGAGGAGTGGGGGGTTGCTGCTACATAATAGTGAGCAATTCAGCATCTCTCAAATGCACTACCTCATGGGGCTGCAGAGAAGGGGCAGGAAGGTTCCTGATGATCAGCGGCTTTGTCAGCTCGGTGCACAGGACTGCGCGATAGTTCCGGCCCGACTGCGCTAGGCCATCGTTGCGCCAGGAGGCCAACCCCAGAAGTTCTTTCACCGAAGCACTGCTCCTGCAACAAGAGAGTACGCGCTCTCGTTATGCTGTGCTGTGTACCCATCAGTTGCAACCTTCCCACCCTAGAAGCAGCTGCATTTCATAAGGCGGGGTTGGGGTCTAAAAGATGATGAGTATTTTACACAGAGAAGACTGCCGACTTTACAGAAGAGACTGCCTAGACGACCGCTTCATAAAGTGGTTGAGCGTGCCTGACTCTAAATTCTAAAAACAAAGCGGAAGAGAGGTTTACTACCGATAAAAGAATCCAACAGCACTGAATCCAGCAGCAATTAGCCCACAGAGCCAGGGTCTGCTCTCTGTAACCGTCCTAGCAGAATGAGGCTGCTCTAGGTACAATACAATAATAAAGCACCTTAGTGGGAGTTAAGCAGGTGGTGAAATTTAACCGCTGCCATTTCTCCTGATCCTGCAGCAAGGCTGCCTGGGGTTAGCTAAGGTTTCTCTGCTAGGGGAAAACCTTGCCTGACCTGAGCTGGATCAAAGTCTCCTATTTGTCTGCTCCTTGATTTTCTTTGTAACCCTTTCACTGCAGTAGCTGCAGGACTGCCAGCCTCAAGCATTCAAAACCAAGAGATTGTATATATAAAATTGGGAGGGGCTTTTATTTGCCTCTTGGTTCACAGCTCCTAGGGGGCACCCGGCCATGTTTTTAAGCCTTTCTCCACACCAGGAAGGGGGTGAAACTGACTTTAAGGGGACACAGGCGTAAAGTCGGGATTTCTCACCTACCCCCGAGATCCCAAGGAGCTGAGCACCTTTCGAAACAGACCACCTGTTGCAAGGGCTGGCAGCCCTGCTGCTACACCAGAGCCCTATCCCCAAAAACCCCAGCACCACCGGCTGTCTGCAAGGGGACAGGAAACAGGTGCCCAGACAGGTGGAAAGGGGGTTGCAGCTAGGAGCAAGCAGTGTAGGAGATAGGGCAGGCTTGGGGGGTCAGGACCAGCTGGGCATGTGCATAAAAGGAAGGGAGGCAGAGCTGGGGCAGTAGGGGAGCACCGGGTGCAAGGGGGAACGTGGGGTCAGCACTGAGGGGAGCATGGGGCAGCCTGGGATGCAGTGTGCTGCAGGGAAACAGGGATCAGCACGGGGGCCGGGAGAGCTTGGGGCAGCCCGGGGTGCTGGGGGCAGCGCTGAGAGGCAATGCAGAGCAGCTGGGGGTGCAGGGAGCTGGGATCAGCACTGAGGGGAGTGTGAGGCAGGCAGGGTTGCTGGGGAGCAGGGGGATTAGCGTGGGGGAGAGCTCGGGGCAGCCCGGGGTGCAGGGAGCTGGGTTGGCACCGGGAGAGCTGGGGCCAGCGCGGGG